GCGGAGGTGGGGCAGTTGTAGTGTTGGAGGATTAGGGCATCTATTGCATTATACAGATACAATTATAGTATTTGTTATTTCTCATATTTAGGAACTGTTTTAGAATATAAGAATAATTATAGACTTAGAGTTTAATACTAGTATTAGGGATTAAATTTAGTAGGACATTGGGTTTATTACAGTCAGTGCCGGGGTGGGTATATCTTACCCTGTCTCTGGTGTATTGGTTAGGGCGCAAGGAGGGGTGTAGCTCCTTCTTTTTATTTCATCGAACCTCTCAGGCGGGGGAGTAATAGCTCATTCTTGAGTGAAGTAGGCTCCTTGTCGATATTTTATATCGGTTCGGTGAATTGATCTAGGGCAGTAGGGGTCTGTGTTTCCTTTGTTTTGATTGTGATTGCAATTGTGCTAAAATATCCTAGTGTGTTCTATCCAATTATTTACCTGTGGTTGTATGGGTATTAATAATTGTTGGGTAGTTTAATTAATCTTCTGGGATATATTTTATTGGTGCTAAAATATCCTAGTGTATTCTATCCAATTATTTACCTGTGCTTGTATGGGTATTAATAATTGTTAGGTAGTTTAATTAATATTCTGGGATTTATTTTATTGTTGTAGGTTTTGTCCTATTGTTGAAGGATTTAACCTAGCACTGTGGGGATATGGAGAAGGTCCCTATTAATAATTGTACGTTTGAGGAGTTGCTGGCCATGCCCGGGGTAAGTCCTGTTCGAGCGGGGCGTATTTTAGAACTCCGGGAAAAGCATGGGGGGATTACTCCTGAGCTGTTGGAGTCCTCTGCTATGTTTGCGGATGTAGGTAATCTGCAAGGCTGGTTTGACTTCCGATCGCGTTTGGATTATGGGGGAGAGTCCCCCAGGATGCCATCTAGGGCAATATTCCAAACGGGCGATTTTTGGAGTAGCACGCTCCGGGGGAGAGGATCCGGAGAATCCGGAGGAAGAAGTCTTGGGGCACAGGTTTATCCCCATGACAGTTATCCTCCCCCGGTGAGAGAGTCAGGCGGGTTTTCCCGCGCGAATTCGTGGAGATATGAAGGTGGGGAAGATACTTCCCTACCAGGGCCGGCCCGGACTTTTCCAACCCTGCCCCCGGAAATGGGCGATGCATTCCCCCGACCGTCTTTGTCTAGAGGGGAGGGAGATTGGGGACGCAACCGAGGGAGGGCTTCTTATCAGCCACTCCCCAAATCGATCGGATTTGACGGGCGTGGGAATTGGCGCGCGTTCTTCCGAAAATTCTCCGCATTTGCGGATGCCTGCGAGTGGGATTATCCACAACGCCTAAACCAGTTGTGCTGGTGTCTGGACGGTCAGGCAAGCGAGTTTTTCGATAGGATTCAGGAGCGGGACCCCGATATGGGTTATTTCGGGGTAGTACGCCAGCTGGAGGGCCGGTTTGGATACCGGGAGCCTCCGGAGGCAACCCTGCTTGAATTTAACACTGCTAAGCAGGGTCTTACGGAATCCTTGCCTGAATGGGCAGACAAATTGCATCGGCTTGCATCCCGGGCATTTCCCGGGGTCCCAGATACTTACGTGCAACGGCAACTGGTATTGCGTTTATGTCAGGGCTGTATCGACAGCGATGCTGGGTGTCATGCCCTTAATCAGCGCCTCTCTAACGTTGGGGAAGCAGTGGAGGCAATCCGCTGGTTCCAGCACGCGCATACGGTCATGTACGGCCGTACCTGGCAGGCCAAAGTGATGGCGACCGAATCGGGCGAGGTCAGAGGGCCCGAGGTGCGAAGGGTGGACATTGCCCCGCGACCGGCGCAGGGCACTCCTTCCACCCCTTCCCCTTCCAGACTTGAGACCCGGATGTCAGAGTTGGAGGGACGATCGGATAAGCGAATATCCGATTTAGCGAAGAGCTTTGATAACCGGATGTCTGGTTTGGTGAAAAGTTTGGATAGCCAGATATCTGGTTTGTCTACCAGTTTGGATATCCGGATATCCGGTTTGGAGAAAAACCTGGAGAAGATTGCCAAGGCTCTAGGTGGGGCGCGAGGGATTTCACAGACCCTGCCGCCCAAGACCCAGTGGGTCGGACGAGGGTCGGACGAGAGGTACCTGGTCGAGGAGCAGATGTAGTAAAGTCTGACGAGTTAGGGATGGATGAGGTCCTCCCTGCTATTTCAGGGAAAGGCTAATGACGACAAGTTTCTCAATATTAATTCTGTAGTTGCTTTTTCCTGTTCTGTAATTCCCTCTCACCGTGTAAACTTCTTCTTGGATACTGGATTACCTTATGGGTGATTTCATCTTCGAGCTGATAAAGTAATTTATCGTTCTTGGTACCATCTGTTATACATGGTGGGGGTATGGTATGGATTTTTCCATGATTTCCAGGATAGTTGGGAATCCTGTGATATTTAGGTGATCTAGTAAGAGGATTAAGACAAAAATATCTTCTTATGGCTACCATGTCCACTTCTAAGTTATCTACATGAAAGCACATAAACATTCCCTTAGTCCATGCATACTGGAGATATGATCTTCATGTACTTCAGAATGTATGGATGTATATTAGTTTAATCCTAGTTTTGTGGAATTAGTATAATTTGTCAAAATGCTTACATGTATGTGGATCTCTCCGTTGGAGTGAAACCTGTCCTACATGCTAATCATGTCGGGTCATATTCATTACGGTAATCATCTTGACAAAGGGGTGAATGAGTTTATTTGGAGTATGCGTTTTACTCTATGTTTTAGTATACATCCTTTTGGCAGGCATTTTTGTAATTAGGGTAGTTTTCTGTGGAGAGTTTCTCATGCAGCTTTCTTGTAGTAGTCTTTTCCTTGGGATAGCAAAGTAAGGACTTTGCCATAGACATGTCAAAGTTGGCTGTAAGTAAGCCTCCTGCTCCATGTCCTTATCCCTGTATACATGTAGCACTGCTGCTTGTTGTAGAAATCTAGCACGGTCCATATTTATGCCTGTGTTCATGGTTTCCTCGTTCTTCAAGTGACTTAAGGGGGATGACGATAAGTACATGTATCCCTGCAATGTTTTGAGTTGGGTGTCAATGTGATAGACCCCTGCAAGTATTTGAGAGGGGTGTCGATGTGACTGACCCCTGTAATGTTTTAAGTGGGGTGTTGATGTATACTCCACATTTTCTAGCTATCAAGGTATTCCTTGACCAGCTCCCATTAGGAAGTAGGGGTAAGCGACCTCTCTTTCGGCTTTCAGGGTATTCCTTGAACAATTCCCTCTGGGATGTCGGGGTTAGTGACCCCGGTTTGTGATTATTGGGATATTTTGATGATTTGTTTAAATTTAGCAAACTGGGTATGGTTTCATCGAGGCCATTTGATTTGAACTACATCGGTTTAAATCAATTGCACATTGCTGGCACTCGTGTCACCCTTTGATTTCGTTTGCTTCCGATTTTCCTTTTTTAGAAACAAAAAACTATACTGTTTGGATCACCCTTGTTTGTTTTTTTCAGTACAAAGAAAGGGGATCGGCATGATGTTTTCTATTATATTGTGTTTATAATGAAATTGCCCTTTGAGGGCGTGATGTTTTTATAATGGGATGTATAATGGGGTTGCCCTTTGAAGTTGGCAAGGGGAGGAGGGTTTTGTTCAAGGAAAGGAAAGGAAAACAGTTTTTTTCCGGAGGACAACATTGTTTTGTTTAAATTTTGTATGTTGTGATTGATGGACCTGGCTGTTACAAAAGCCGGTCTTAGCGGGTTTCAGCCACTGATTGTGGTACCCAAGTTTTTTTTTTGAGGGGTTTGGGTTCTCCCTGGGATGAGTTCTTTAAAACGGGGGGGAATGTAGTAGTTTTTGATATAGACTACAAGCACGAAGCAGACTGCATTAGCAGACTACGAGTGTAGCAGAGCATATCAGTCTACAATAGCCACCCTCACCACTAGAGGGCGCTATTCCTATTGGAAGCTTCCCTGGAATAGAGTCAACCTGAACTCTCTCTCTCATGCAACCGACACCTCAACCGAACAGACGTACCTTTACTGGAAGTTAAGGATGTCAAGCCTGATTGCCTGATACATTTCCAGTGAGTATTTCATGTCTGGTTATGGTGTCTATAAAGTAGCTCCCAAGTCTACTTCAATATCCAGGTGCTTTTTTTTCTCGCTAGCCCCACGGGATCATTCGGTTTGAAAATACCCTTCCCACATTTTTTGAATCAGCTAATTAGGGAGGCATGAGCTCCGCTCAGTCCAAACCATGGTAAAATCGCGTAACATTTGCGCGTATTGTGAATGAAAGTATGGATAGCCGTTCGCACAATAGTACCCGGAAGTGATTACACGTTATAGTCAATGACAATATCGCCGAGACAACGTGGCTCAAGCTGCAAGTTGCGCATAACATGCGTACGCTATGCATACCCTTGCATATTGCGCGATACAGCCGTTTGGCTGAATTTAGCAAAACAACATAACTCTGCGTGTACCGTCTTTTTCGTCGATTCTGATCAAAATGCTATGAATATTGCAGCGTTTCGAAGGGGCTGTATCTTTTGATAGAAACATCGGTGAGACTTAGACTAGCCTAGACCTATTTGAAATGTATTATTCTGATTACATTTTTAATTCAAATATCAAACAAAAATTGAGAAAAACAATCCCAAATTGAAAATTGAAAAATCGTTCAAACACCCTAGGCCTACTACTAGATATCTCCATGCACATGACCACACCGTTTCAAACTCAAATTTCAAAATCTAGGATCTATTCACTTCAGGACAATTGAATTGAAACACTTTTCATTCTCCTTTTTTTTACAGCACTTATTTACTGCTCATGCTCCCCCAGTCTTGACTGGTATGAATTAAACAAGGATAATTTTTGGCAGTATGGGCATGCAGCTTTATTTATGTTAAACTGTTAAACCAGTGAAGTTCGAGGAAAAGAACCACTGCACTGCAGTGGCACTTGCACCGCGGTCGGTGCAGTGCACGTCTTCGCCTTCGCCTTCATTCATATTTATACTGACCTCCATGCCAACTCGCCATCCCTGCATTGCAGAGGCTCCGTATGAAAGTTCCTCACAACTCCCGTCATCCGAGATTTTCTCCACGTTCGGTTCCGATAAATAAGCTCCCATTTTGATCCTGTAAGTTCTCTGTTCTCTCTTCTAGCTCAAACTAACAGATTTGCGATCGTTTCTTCCCAAATCTAGGTTAAATTTGATCTTTACAGGGACATGCGCAGAGGTCCCCGTGTGTCATTTCACGTGGGGTTTTCTTCGCGGTCGATTTTGGCTGTCCCATTCAAAAACAACTTTTTGTGTAGCCAAACTTGCGAATTGCATGCCCGTCGCACTCACGTACACAAACAGCATATAGCTGCATGCATGCGGTATAGGTATGGTACATGAACAGGCTGAGCTAAAAATAATAGGGGTCATTCGAGGTGACCTCAAACATAAACGAGCTGCAGATTATGAAGCCAATATAGGCACCGGCTCTTTTCAAAAGTACCCCATCAACGTGAATATACAGCATAACTTCAGAACCCCCCCCCCCCTGTTTTATCAATAAAAGGGGAAATATGTCTTACACGCAAACAGTGCACATCGGGTCACTTCCAAGCCTAAATCAATTCCATTCTGTGGACCACAGGGGTGGACAATAATTGTTACAATAAGGGCGGGGAGTCCGATTTGTTTTGTGGTTCCATGACTCTTTAATTACAACGTCTTTTTCTTACGTCCGAAGCGGGGTTTTGCCCATTTCGACCCCAACCTTGACATGCTTGCCCCTTATTCCAAACAACTGGACGCATGACAGGTGGGGTGAGGATGCATCGAGGGCATGTGCTCCCTCCAACTCCGGGGGGGGGGGGGGGGTACTAACATTTTAGGACATACTAGGTGTGCCGCTCTAATCACTTTTTTCACATGAAATCCATAAACATGGGTCCCACTTTTAACAAAAAATACTATTACAATAGGTCTGTCTTAAGTTTGTTCAAAATGTCCGAAATTTGCCATGCAAACACCCGAAAACTGTGAAAATGGGTCTTTTTCGAGAAAAATGCTCCACAGTGACCCCTTGTAATGGATAGGGGTTTCGAGGCTTGAGCGGCACACCCCCGTCCAAACCAAATCTGAGTATCCCCCTCCCACCCCCCCCCCCTCCCTGGGAATAGACTATGTCTCTATCACACACCTGCACGGTCGTGCTTAATTCCACGCAAGAACTTGAGGCCCCTCGATATTAGGCTACATTTTGGAAATTTTGATGATTTACTAATTAGATTCTCTCAATCGGCCTCGCCAGCATCCATAGATAAAATTGAATACTTAAAAGTCTAGGCCAGTTTCGTAATGTATTCACCAACCTTTGAATCGCATTACGTAATCAGAGGTTTGGACAATCACCTTCTCTTAAAATTATGTTATTTCTTTGTTTTAATCCTTCTATCACTTTCTCTTAGTGTCTTTCCTTATGTTATTCTTTGTTCCTTCCTTCTGTTACCTTCTCTTATGTTATTCTTTGTTTATATAATTCTATCACTTTCTCTCACTTAGATTTACGAACTCGGCGATCTTCAAATACCATAATTAGAGAAGCACATTTTTTAAATTTTTTTTTAATTTTTTAATTTTTTATTTATTTTTTTTTTTTTAAATAATTTTTTTTTAATTTATTTATTTTATTTATTTATTTATTTATTTATTTATTTATTATTATTATTTTTTTTTTTTTTTTGGGGGGGGGGGTCCAGGATTTCAGTGGCGGATCCAAGAGGGGAAAACGGCCGCGGCCTCTCCTATTGGGTTTAGGCAGAAACACTCTACAACCCATGCATTACTCATGTTTTTAGATAAAGTAGCTCATGCTATCGACGATATGGCCCATACTGTGGGTATTTTCCTGGACTTCTCCAAGGCCTTTGACACTATTAATCATGATATATTACTGTACAAGTTATCCCATTATGGGATTCGAGGAAAGGCCTTGGAGTGGTTCAGGAATTATCTCACAGACAGAAAACAGTATGTTAGTATTAATGGTCACGACTCTTATCAAAGATCAGTATCATGTGGTGTCCCACAAGGTTCATTATTGGGTCCGTTATTATTTGTAATATATATCAATGACTTCAGAAATTCGTCTGAAATAATGTCTTTTATTCTCTTTGCAGACGACACTAATATTTTTTATTCACATCGTGACCCTCAATATCTCCTGAGGACCGTTAATAGTGAACTTAAGCGGATACAAGCATGGATAAATGCAAACAAACTATCATTAAATGTCAGTAAAACCCACTTTATGCTGTTTAGCAACTGTATAAAATCCCTACCCGGTAATATTTTAATAGACAACACAAATTTAAACCAGGCCGAATCCACAAAATTTCTTGGTATCTACATTGACAGTGATTTATCATGGAAGATACACGTTAACTATTTGTGCAAGCTGATTTCTAGAAACACAGGTATTTTAAATAAACTAAAACACGAGTTCCCAACCCATATTTTGTTATCTCTGTATAACACCTTAATTTTACCTTACCTTAACTACGGTATTCTTGCCTGGGGAAACGGGACCAAAGCCCAACTTGAAAAACTTCTCATTATTCAAAAACGGGCAATAAGAAACATAAATCATGCGGGATTCCTTTCCCATACTAGTCAACTGTTTTTTAATAACAAAATTCTCCGAATTGGTGATGTGTATGTGTACAGCGTAGGAGTGTTTATGTATCAATTAACTATAAATGAGTTACCTGCTGTTATTTGTGCACTCTTCGTACGAAATAATACAATCCATTCTTATTCCACTCGCCAACGTAACCTATTTCACCTTCCCCTTACACGAACTTTGTTTGCTCAAAAAAATATCACTTTTACGGGCCCTAAACTTTGGAATGACCTCCCCATTGAATTCACATAATCAACCTCACTATATTCGTTCAAGCGCAAGCTGAAATGTCATCTCCTAAGCAATTACGCTTTAATGGTAGAAGAAGCTTGATGTTACTTTTAATAATTACTGTCGATGTTCAAACTGAATGTTTCTTTTAGTTTGCTGTTGTTACCCTGTGAATTGCCATTGCGTACGGGTAGTGAAAATGTTATACAAATATTGCTAAGTGTATGAATATTGTTTATTTTTCTTCATAATAAGTATCAACTTAATTAAATTACGTTTTTTTTTTTTTAATATACACAAGACTATGTCATTGTTGTAACTTTCGGAGCCTATGACCTACAAGCATTGCTTTCTCTTTAGGCTCCATCATATTTCTTCCCTTATTCAACTTAGTCTTATGTATCATTCTTTTTTTTTTTTTGTATAAACGCATCCTAAAATGAGTTCAAAATGTAACATGCTATATGTAATGATGTACTATACAACATGTGAGAAATACGAAAATAAACTGAAACTGAAACTGAAACTGAAACTATTGGCGGCGCCAAACAAAAAAGAGGAAAAAAAGAAGAGAAAAAAAGAAAGGAGAAGAGAAAAGAAAAGAAAAGAGAAGAAAAACGAAAGAAGATAAAAGAAAGAGAGAGAGAGACAGAAAGAGAAAAGAGAAAGAAGAGAGAAGAAAGTAAAAAAGACAAGGCACTAAGTGCCAATAACGACGAGGGGGGGGGGGGGGGGGGTGAGTCCAGAATGAGCGCAATCCAGGGCGAAGGCTATTTTTATATATGTTTTAGTCTCTTGCGTTTGCCATACTTCATTGTTATTAATATTTTTATTGGGAGTTGTCTGTGGCGGATAGGAGGGGGGGGGGGAAGATTTCAATTTGTATAACCTTCGGGTTTTTCGTCACGGAATGATCGAGATGTCATGTGCAAACCCTGTATCGAAAGTTTCAACCACCACCATCCCTGATCCCAGCCCTAATCTCTTATGAAGAGTAGGCCTACAGTGGGTTTTTTGTTTACCATAAGTTTTCATTATAACGTTTATAGGTTGGGAACTCTTCTACACATTAGGCCTCCATTGGCATCCTATTCCAGGGATGAAGACTTTTCCACCATGACCTGGCCTGTGTCTATAGAACATGACAAGGGAGGGCCGCACTGGCGTACTGATGGGTTGACTTGGGGGGGGGGGGGGGGGGGCTTTGGGGCGTGCCCCCCAAATAAACTTCAAACGTGGTATATTTCTAACTCGATACCAAGGATTTATAAATTTTGCTGAAATGTCATGATTTTCCGGGATATTTTGTTACTGTTTTGTAAATTATACTTTTTTTATCTGTTTGCTGGAAAATGACTAATTCTTAAGTTTGCAGTCAGGCCAAAATGTTCTTATTCAGAAGCCTACATGCAAGGGCCTTCAGGATTGCGGGGCTAGAAAAGAAAAGAGAAGAAAAACGAAAGAAGATAAAAGAAAGAGAGAGAGAGAGAGAAAGAGAAAAGAGGAAGAAGAGAGAAGAAAGTAAGAAAGACAAGGCACGACGAGGGGGGGGGGGGGGGGGGTATGTGCCTGTGAAATGCGCGCGCTGGAGGGGGGGGGGGGTGAGCCCAGAATGAGCGCAACCCAGGGTGAAGGCTATTTTTATATATGTTTTAGTCTCTTGCGTTTGCCATACTTCATTGTTATTAATATTTTTATTGGGAGTTGTCTGTGGCGGATAGGAGGGGGGGGGGGGGAATTCAATTTGAATAACCTTCGGGTTTTTCGTCACGGAATGATCGAGATGTCATGTGCAAACCCTGTATCGAAGGTTTCAACCACCACCATCCTTGATCCCAGCCCTAATCTCTTATGAAGAGTAGGCCTACAGTGGGTTTTTTGTTTACCATAAGTTTTCATTATAACGTTTATAGGTTGGGAACTCTTCTACACATTAGGCCTCCATTGGCATCCTATTCCAGGGATGAAGACTTTTCCACCATGACCTGGCCTGTGTCTATAGAACATGACAAGGGAGGGCCGCACTGGCGTACTGATGGGTTGGGTTGGGGGGGGGGGGTGGGCTCTGGGGCGTGCCCCCCAATAAACTTCAAACGTGGTATATTTCTAACTCGATACCAATGATTTACAAATTTTGCTGAAATGACATGATTTTCCCGGATATTTTGTTACTGTTTTGTAAATTATACTTTTTTTTTATCTGTTTGCTGGAAAATGACTAATTCTTAAGTTTGCAGTCAGGCCAAAATGTTCTTATTCAGAAGCCTACATGCAAGGGCCTTCAGGATTGCGGGGCTAGGGGGCTCGAGCCACCCCTCACTAAACAAAAAAGTATGTGTAAGATATTAAAATAGAAAGAAAAGAAGAAAGAAAAATAGTGACCTGCCAGTTCCACAAAATTAATGAGGTATCAAAATATGCCCATCTGACCGCAAGTAAATAGTTAAAACCCCTGAGCTTGCGAGGGCTCCACCCTCTCAACCCCATCAGAGGGCCTAAGTCGGTCCCCTGGATGCTCATCTGACCATTATTAAATGCCTAAAACCCCTGAGCTTCATGGGGCTCAGTCCCTTGGACCCCACGCTAATTAGTGACCTGCTAGTATGACAAATAAGGTATCAAAATATGCTCATCTGACCGTAATTAAATTCCTAAAACTCCTGAGCTTCCGAGGGTTCCGCCCCTAGCTTGACCCCCCCCCCCCCCCCCCCCCGCTGGGGCTTTCCCCCTGTGCCCCACGCCAATTTACGCTTCACTCGCTTCGCTCGCTACGCTCTACCTGATCGTAAATACTTTAGCCCCTCCCCCACCAACTTTGAAAACGTTCTGCGGGGCCTGCATGTAACAGTGGTGGTGGTGCGGATTTGTTAAAAATATTTACATTTTGCATTTTGCATTTACATGCATATACATGCTTTGTGTTAAAGCCTTAAAGCTGACAATTACCCGGAAATCAGACGGTACAATTAGAAACTAATAGAAAAACAAACTTCGTTGAATTAGTGTGGAGGAGTTGAACTATACAGATTTTTTTATTTTGGGGGTTGGGGCAAAATGCAATTAATTATTGAACATTTATTGCATTTTCTTTGTTTTTGTTGTTTTTGTGGGGGCGTCGACGTACTCTAGCGCCCGCTGCGTACAGTCATGATTCATTGGCTAAGCAATGGCCTCGTTACTGTGAGCCCACAGGATCAAAACCGTGTCGATGTGCTATATTAGTGCCCTTTTATGAGGCATTAATCCTCATTACTGTCAGTTATGACTTAAGGACGTAGGTCCCCTAGTTGATTAGCATTCCGAAGAAGGGGGGGGGGGGGGGGGGCTCTCGCTGGCAATCTTGGATCTATTGCGTGTGATGTACAATATGTATGCCAATAAGCCTATAGTGCGGATTTTTTGTGTTTTGTCAATACAACAATATTTGTATAAAAGAGAACGCTCCATCTGTTGGTTATTGAATTTTCAGTTTGTATCTCTAAACAATTAAATTGCCACCTTACTGTCTGTTTACGATAACACTGTCATTCGTATAAAAGCTGACACAACGTTTGTGATATCGAAACATCGAATAGAAGCTTTTCGTCTTGCACTCATCAGAAAATTATAAACCACAAGAATGAACAGAAGAAACCGGAAATCAGACAATATAATTAGAAACTAATAGAAAAACAACTTCTTGCATGTTGCGGTACCAATCACATCTTCATCTACAGAGATGGAGTGGAAAGTGACTTCGCGGACAGTATTTTGGCTGAGTTCGTTGGCTGTTTTAGTTATATTTGTCTCCTCGTATGTCTTTATGGATCCGGCTACCAAGCATCGTATGTATGTAAAGATCGAACATAAACCATTTCATCTTGAATCATGTCTTCCGAATGTGAGTTGTGCCTCTGGACAGACCTTTACAAAAACATATGACCTCAGAAATATCTCTGCATCAAACGGATCTAGTGACGCTGAAGTGGACGGTCGGGCTCATGAACATTTCGATAAAGATGAGAGATTATTACCAACTATTGACGATGCAAATGCTGCAGAGGAAATCGATACTGTTTCGGCTTTAGATATGAAAAATGGTTTCTCAAAAGATGTGAGGTCATTAGATAAAAAAATCAGCTACGGATACGACCCTCAAGTCTACGTAGATCTTTACAAGAATATGACAATCAATGATGTGTCCAAGAAGATAACCGATTCCCCTCCAGTCATCATCATCATGGCCCAATGGCGGTTCGGATCCAGCGTCTTTGGGGAGCTTTTCAATCAGAATTCTGATCTGTTTTACTTATTTGAGCCATTGTATACTACTACTCAATTACGAGAACAGAAAGGCATTGGATTGTTTACGCCCGAGAGTCAGGAAATGTCCAGGAATATCTTGCGCAACTTATCAAGGTGCCAGTTTGATCCGGATTTTGTGGAAATATTAGTTGGCTGGGGCGGGAAATTCAATAACGAAGCAATATGCAAGGCATCGAGGAGGTGTAGGATAATATCACCGAGCTGGATGAGTGATTTGTGCCGGAAGTATAAAGGCCGACTTGCTTCGAAGCTGATCCGAGCTAATCTCGAACTCCTAAGACCATTGATAGTTGACGATAACATCAATCTGAAGATCGTCCATTTGGTTCGTGACCCTAGGGGCTCTCCATTGTCCAGGATCAAATACACATTATCGAAGAAAATATCTCCGACTGTTCGTTCTCAATTCCCTAAATATGGACGATTGAATCCCCTCAACCTTTTCAGCGTTACTCCAGAAACCGGAGACACTGTTCGAGGAATGTGCAAGTGGATCAGAAAGAACGCAGTTGTTTCGCCTGATCTTCTACCCGCTTGGTTGCAAAGGCGTTACTACCTCGTCAGGTATGAAGACTTTGCAGACACTCCCCTGAAGGTCACGCAAGACCTCTACAGGTTCGTCGGAATTCCTTTTAAAAAAGAGGTTCAGGATTGGGTGATAAAGAACACGGATGTGACAGTCAGTAAAAATGACTTGTTTTCAACTCACAGGAATTCCCATGTCGCTGCTACACATTGGATCAAAGATCTTACTGAAATGGAAGTCGGGCAGATTGAGGAGGAATGCCAGGACGTTTTAGAACGAATGGGTTACGAACCATATAGCCAACTGATTCACCGGGAACAATCAACGAGATAATTATTTAACTGAACTAGGTCATTGTATTTGTTAATATTTTCATCTAGTTTTATTTAAAATAACGCCCTTGTCACAATATGCTCACCGTTACGTTTTGGCGTCATGTTGGAAGCCAATTAAATCTTCACAAAAATGCCCATATTATAACGATGATTCCTATTTGGTATGTGCGGTGCATCTTAAAGGGATCGTTTAACAATGTTAAGTCTGAGATGCCTGGCCCTACGTGTTATCAGTGTCTGTGATATGGTGTAATATCGAAGCCCTACAAAAATTGCGATTCAAAATGATCAAGAAGTGTCTACAAAAAGTAAAAATCTTTGAGCGACCAGTTTTTACCGTACTTGTTCTCCCAAATATGTTATGAAAACCGTTTCGCAAAATTTAATTTCGATTTCCAATCATAAATATCTTGATAATCAGATAGGCGATCGGCTTGTAAAACTTATGGGGTTCCTGACTGACCTTAAGGTTTATACCTGTAGTTATCACTGCAGCATGAGCTAAATCCAGGATTTTGTTTAAGAATCTAAGATATAGTTACCGGATCCCTTTAATAAGGAATGTCCTACCTGAAGTCGTTGAATTAGTGTGGAGGAGTTGAACTATACAATGTTTGAGATTTGAGGTTTATGAGAAAGGTTTCTTGGTTGATCCAGATTGATATTTGGGGTGGGGTGGGGGTTCTCTGAAAAGCAGATTCTCTCTTTCAATATTTTTCTTTGGTAAATTCGAATTTTTTAAAGTTTAAAGTACGCCCCCAAAATAGATGGAATTCATTTTGCTGCTATTTTTATTTGTTGGGGGGGGGGGGGGAGAGGTTTATTTTTCTTTCAATCCGACCACCATTTTTAGCCTTGTAACTAAATTCAAGTCTCTGACGACTGAGGACCGTGGCTCGTTGGGAAATTTTCCACTAATTGGTAAGGCAAAGAGTTGGTTGCAGAAGAACGGACGTGCGCGCGCGTACCACGTGTACGTGTAGGCACGATTCACATTTTTATAATGAAACCAAATTTACCGAGTAAAAAATATTTGTGAAACGCCTCGATACGAACTATTTCAAGGCGGACGAGAAACGGCTAACGAGAAGCATGCACATACACAGTGACCACAGAATCAATATTATTAACAATAGTAACGAGACATAATGATAATAAAGGTAAAAATGATGACAGCTGTCATACTGTAGGAATTTTTTGTTGGATTTCTCCAAGGCATTTGACACAATTGATCAAAACATTTTTGTTTAAAAAGCTTCAGCATTATGGTGTCAGGGGTAAGGCCTTGGAGTGGTTAGTGGTACAACAGTTACCTCAGTAGTCGAACACAGTTTGTTTCATTAAATGGGATTGCATCGAATGTCAATTAAGCCTGTCACATGCGGTGTTCCTCAGGGATCTCTTTTAGGGCCTCTATTATTCATAACATATATAAATGACTTCAAATTTTCATCCCGACTATTGTCATTTATATTATACGCAGATGACTCAAGCATACATGTACTTTATTCTCATGAGAATTCTCAAATTCTTGTTGAAACTGTAAATCAAAAAGTAAATTGAAAATATTGCACAGTGGATTTTTGCCAATAGACTGTCACTGAACTTGGACAAAACTCATTTCATATTATTTAGCAAATTAGTTATCCGATTTACCTGGAGATATCTATTTGAACAATGTCAAAATTAAAAAAGTAAATTCGACCAAGTTTCTTGGCCTGTTTACTGATGATAGAATGACCTAGAAAGTACATACACATTATTTGTGTTCATCACTATCAAGACATGCTGGTGTGTCTTCCCATTATGTATTGCAAATGTTGTACTTCACTTTAATGTTACCCTACTTGAACTATGGTATTCTTGCCTGGGGTAGTTCATTGAAACTTCAACTGGACAAAATCCTGGTTGTTCAAAAAAGAGCAATACGAACAATTTGCAATGTACCTTTTCGTACTCACTCGTGCCTTCTTTTCTTCAATACCAAAGTACTGTGAGTTCGGGATATTTTAAATGTACAATTAGGCTGCCTCATGTTTCAGCTGAATAACAACGAACTGCCCCAGGCACTATCTTATTTTTTTAAGAAAAGAAGTCAAGCCCACTACTATCCTACCCGACAGGCGTTTTCATATCACCTTCCTAGAACGAGAACACGTTTTGCTCAAAATGCCTTAATATTTACATGTCCTAAGTTCTGGAATTCTGTGATTAAAAGGTCTGTAAGTGTTGATGTATTCAGGAGAAAATTGAAATGTTATTTTTTGAATACATATTGTCATTTCTGATTCCTGACAATTCTTGTCTCCAAGCTGTATGCTTTTGTTGATTCCAATGAGTAAAGAACGGTATGACCATGCCAAGTATGTTTATAATATAATCATATGGAGAACAAACTATAATTATTGTATTATTGTTTCAATAAGCTGCAGATATATTCCCTTCCCTTTCCCTTGTCTTTTGTAGTTAATTGTGAGTATCGGTTCATGTATGCCTGTAATCTCCGTTTCCCTGTTTTAGCGTGTTTTTGTATTTTATAAACTTTACTTTATTTAATTATGTCATTTGCAGTTTAAAGAGCCTATCCACAACAAGCTCTGCTTTTCCATAGTCTCCGCCACTATATCTCTTAAGTTCAACTCAATGGACAATTTTCTGAATAGTATGTATCGGTATTGTATGCACATGTATATTATAATAATTTTCAATGTGTTGTTTAATTTTATACACTCTTTGTAAAATGAGATATTCTGGAAACCAATAAACTATCTATCTATCTGCAATGTCTTGTACGCATTTGTGAGCACATTTTTTGGCCCTCGAAAATTTGAAAATTTGCACCCCCCCCCTGGATCCGCCACTGCCCCCCCCCCAGAAAAAGGGTAAATTCAACTATTGACAGGTCATTGTCAACACTAAGGGAGTGGCCGAGGGGGGGGGGGGGAGTGACAAAAACAAAGTAACAAATTAAAGGTTGTCACATTTTCGCTCGCTGGACGTAAATAGCAGACGACAATCGGCGAATTAGACGACACTTGGTAGTGAATTTGTATGTGAGACTGCTTTGCTAAATATAAAATACAAGAACATTTTCTATATCTTTAAACAATCATATATATCTGATGATTAAAGAGTTATTAAAATAAACCTACCAAACTACATAATACAATGAAATACTTGACTTAAAGTAGGGGAGTTTGATGTGGTGCACAATTGCACCTCTCTGTAAATAATCAAATAGTCAATGGCGATCATGAATATTCATGTTTTTGCTTACCTCTGCAAAATGTTTGCTTATATCTTCAATGGAAAAATTACGGTGGGGGTTTGGCAGAAATGGACATAATGAACCAAGCAAAACTGATCTATGATAATTCATGCTTCTTATCCTTCGTGTGCTTGATCTATAATCTTACAATCGCGTGGTAAATTGCGTCCAAAGTTCGACTTGTTACACATGCGTTATATATTATTTGCAATGGCGACCTATTTTGATCAAATTACGGTGGGTGAACTTTCAAAAGTCAATGGGACATGAGGGTTCTAATGAAAGAGCTAGTGTCAACGTACGTCGGGTTGGATGTGCTTTTCGTTTAAACAAAAATGAATTTTTAACGATTTTTTAAGGTAGAAGTCCATAGGCTAACATGTTTATAGGCTGCTGGACTCTGACGATAGGGGGCGTTCTCAAATGAGACTAAACGGAGCTATATGGTGTGCATTCGTGTCTTTCTGTGTTTGACTTCACATAGTTATTTTGTGTTAAACATTTTAAATAATAAAAAGTAGTTCAAGCAACCTAAACGTACGATAAATGGATAGTTCTGCTTCTCCATCTTTGTTTACATTTTTAACACACCCTTTCGGCAAAACCGGGGGGGGGGGGGGGCTTTGGGCGAATGGTCGCGTTCAAGTCAACGCGACGTGACGCGACCCTACCCACCCTTACGGCATAAGCCTATTGGGTTCAATTCTATGAGTCCAACAGAAACCAATAGACTCCAACAGAAACCATTAGAGGCCAATAGAATGTGTTAATGGTCTCTATTGGTCTCTATGGGTTTTTCGACCAGGGCATACCCAGCACACATACACAATCAACCCACACGCTCAAAACCTTCACATACAATCACAACGCGTACAACAATCACACATCCACACAACTACAGTCAAACCTGCTTTAGTGGCCACCTGTCTTCAAAGACCACCTGTCTACAAAGAACACTTTTTTTGTTTCCCTTGAAAATGGTTTCTCATTGAATCATGTACTAAATGAACCTGTATCCTAATTTTGAACTAATCGGATATTTTTAAATTTTCTATTCCATTAGGCCTAAATTTCATGGACACAGCGTTGCATATCTTGAAGGCCGTCTGCATTAGTTTTGCCAGGATGGATTAGACCACCAAATCAGCTCTCAACTAACATAAGAAAGAGAGCATCATGTGGGACCAATGGGCACCGTTTATGCATTGTTTTCTATATAGAGGGAGCAAGTAGCTACAAGTAGTACAGTGGGGCTTTAATGCACCCCAACATGTAGTTTGTCAGAGATTTTGCGGTCGTGTGCTAAACCTCCCCTTTTCTATTCGGCATTGTTGATTATAGTGTTTATTGCTATAGAAAAAAAACAACTAAACTAACCTCTTTCGCCTTATTCATATCTAGTATACCTTTATCTCTCCCCCTCTCTCACTCACCCTCTCCAACTCACCCTCTCTTTCCCCCTTCTCTCTTTGTCCCTCTCCTTCCCCGCACTTTCTCTCTTTTCGCGTTGACTTAATTCAATCTTATTGCTATTCCCTGATCGGAAATAATTTTTTTCACATTTACACCGTGGTACATCAAAATAATTAACGAACGCAACACAATTAAAAACACTAAACAACCACTAAAAACATTTTCATTAAATTATATAAAGCAATTATTTATTGGCATAAATCATCATCTTTCAAAAATTAGGCGCACGTCTAAATTCACAGTTTAAATGTCCATATTCCCGTTGAATACAAAATGTTCATAATTCACTTTTTCATCAAATCATGACGGTCATAACATTGGAATCGTGGAAAGAGTTATCATGCTTGTAACCAATTAATTGCCAATTGATATCGATTTTACTCACCTAGTAACTCCCCCGCCCCTGACACCTGTTTCTGCTCGATAATTGGAACCTAGCAACAACATCGTAATAACAACAGGTGAGGAGAGAAATGAATTCTCAGGATTCCTCAACATAAGCTCCAGTAAAAATTGTTCCGAAACTTTTTTCAATAAAATTAGGTTAAGGGTTAGGGTAAAATTTGCTTCGTTTTTAGGCTTATAGGTTTAGGCCTCGGATAATGTTTACTGTTTGGGGCAGGGTTGAAGTTAGACCGAAAGCTTCAGTACATGACAGGCGCGTACGCAGACGGGGAGGGGGGGGGGGGGTTGGGGTTACCCCCCTCAAATATTTTTAATGTGTGGGTATCGGAAGATAACCCCCCCTCACTTTTGTCAAATAAAATATTTAAAAAAAATATATAAAAATTACCTTACCCCCCCCCCCCCCACTGAACGAAATATCGGTCGGCCTCATTTTCCAATTTTCGGGACAAAAAAAAATTGCTCTTATTCCCCCCCCCCCCCCCCCCCCCCCCCCCCACCCCGCTCATTCAGCGGCGGCCGCCATGTGGACACCTCATCACCAAAAAAAGTTGCGACCAATCATAAAAAACAACCAAACGTAGCTTTGCAATACAAGCCAATCAGGATCGAGAATTTAGCGGCGATTCTGTGAAAGGTGACCATTAATTGCCCAATGGCAGAGGTTTAAAAGTGCTTCTTTCTCTTGGTACAAAGATTTTTCACTTTGTAATTGTCATAAAATTTGACTTTGTAGATAATCAGTACCATTCCCGCATTTTGAGACCGTCATATATTTTGGGTGGCTCTTACGGGTGTACGTTCACAATATTATGAACGCCATTGCTAAGATAAAAAAAAAATACCCCCTGAACAACGTCAGACGTTTTGAATAGCCTCATACACAACTTTAAAAATGTGCAACTTACGATGACATATTGAATAATTCAAACACTTTTTCTCACTAGGGTATTGAAATTCCCTAGGAGTTCATTTCTTGAAAGCCTTTGCGATCATATTACTATGATGATAATGTACTGGACTAGGCTATCTTTCACAGCAATAGAAATGTAACAGTATTACATTTGTTATTTTTCACCAAATACTTTCGGGGAAAAGGTAGGAAGGAACACGTGGTCAATAAATTGATTTCACAAGGTCCTGCGGATTTTGATTCTCGATTACTTCCGGGTTATTACAGTTAATATCTATTAAAGATAAACTTGAGTTCTGGTCAAATAAGAAAATGAATTCTCACAGAATTAAACGAAACTTACACTGAATGTTCTAGATTACAAATAAATGTTATTTGCCAAACAATTTTGGTAGAAAATGTTAACTGGCTGAGTGATGAGCATAGAAAGATAAATAAATCGAGCTAGGTAAGTAACCCCGACACCATTGTGTAGTCCCGTGTAGTTTCTTTGTGCGGTGTTTGTTGCTTTGCCAAGACTGGGCCAGATTTATTATGATGTTGATGACTCCAGAACCTTGCAGTACACACCAATACTTGCATGCTACATGATCGACCTTTTCTGATCCATTCCACACCTTTTCTTTCACAATGCAATCGCATGACCAGAACTCAACTTTATCTTTAAATAGTTATCATAATATCAGTACACATTGATGTCGTAATGTAACAAACAAACAATATAATCAGTGTTTACTTCCGAAAGCAATAATGATGGAAAAGACAAGAGTAATAATAACTAAAAATATCGCAATCTGTATTGCCGCGCATTGCGAATGTATTCCCCGGCAGTGGCAGCGATTTTGTGTCATCCTTATGTTCGAAGGAGGGACAAAGATCCCCTCTCCCCTCTCTGAAAGAAAAGGATGGCGTAGAGATCGCCACTAGTGGCTCAGACTATTGTCAAGACTAGGAGCAGCATCACCAAAACAATATCTGTGTAGATTAGAGTATAATGCATCTTTGTAGAAAATTTGAAAGAAATCTGTCAAGAAATGTGGCAGTTAGACTGCACACTAGAGTGCACACAAGTCATCTATCAGAATATGACCTTTAACCTTGTAAAAGACAGAACACTGGGGGCAGCATCACCAAAAGTTATAGGTGTTGAGATTGTACCACGATACACCTCCATACAAAATTTGAAAGAAATCCGTCAAGGAATGTGGCAGTTAGAGCGCACACAAGAATATGACGCGGCGGCGTAACGCTGCTGAATCCAAAGTACTCCACGGGCATACTGCCGGGGGATACAATTACAATGTAAAGTGCTTCGAAAACATTTTATTTATTAGCGCTATACCATATGACTATTATCATCATTAAGTTTCATCATTAATCTGAAGAGTTATCGATTCGAAATGAAATACAACCGAGAGTACTGTATAGAAAAGATAAATAGATAAAGATATGTTTTTTAATCAACGCCCCGATAGTCTTATACACGAGTATAATAAGATTATGGAATCACATCACACGTGTGTATGAAAATTCATCTCTATTTACAAGAAGTAGTATTTTTAAATAATACCATAATGTTTTTCTAGTATTTTTGATAAATACCTCTTGATATAATCATTGTTTCCACAAAATTCATTTTGGGAAAACAAAAGATCTTTGGGCAAGAAAGGCTAAAAAGAGTATATCTTGGAGTAAAATCATTGCGAATCATTTTCAAGAAGAAAAAAAGTATTAGTATATGAATGAAAGATAAGGAGAATGATTACAGAAAAAAGAAGAAAAAGAAAACAATAGTAGGATAAATGTTTTCTTCACATAATTTGTGAAAGATTATCTCTTTACAAGTTCGTAATAACGTGGTGACGTACGTGTATTTGACCGACAAACAGGCAAACACATTCGATACCGATCTTAAAAATCTAAAGTAAATCAGCAAATGATCAAGATATCTTGTCCACAAAATGTTTGAATAATAAATATCGATGCATATTTTTGTACAAAAGTATGATTGTGCAAGAAAATAGTTACTACAATATAGTGCACAATAAGGAAAACGTAAAATAGTGTTGTAATGATATATTGATTCCAGGTAAGAAAGAAAAACAAACAAACAAATTCTTGCATAACTTCAAAACACATAGTAGTATTCATATTATTTAGTACTTTTAAAAAACCTATCTGCCTTTGGCCATAGACTCAAAATAGTTTCTTCACTGATCGTGGTGGCTTAGAAATATAGCACCATATTAATAACTGATCAAAAATCATAATTTGAGAAATCTGATACATGCATCTTATCCATATATTTTGTTAAAACAAGGGGACATTTTGAATCTATATCTAAATCTTTCTTTTAATGACAGAAGTGTTTTTAATCACAATGCTTAACTACAGTCAGCAAGACCAAAAGTCCAACGTTATAGCTTTCTTTCTTTCTTTCTTTTTTTCTGTTTTTTCTTTCTATTTTTACTCCTGCAAAACCACAACGTGACAGGTAAAAGTCAAATGCCAAGAGAGGATTATAAAGGATGAATGTTGGTTAATAATAACGTAGTACACGGCTTTATCACCGCTACATATATCATGTTACGTTAAAAAAGAGATCGAGCATTCCTTCATCTAAAGTGACTCTTGCACTTGAGTGAATTGCCATCCAAATATCAGAACCCCTTGTTACGACACTAAATTTTCCAAAGTTTACTGGAAATCAACATTAATAACTAATCATAAATAATCAAGGATCATCCTCGTTTGGCAAAATAAAAACCCCAAAATGCATTACATGCAATATCAATAGAGCAGAAATTTCAGTTACTGCAACATCATAGTACCTATAAAAACGATTAAAGTACATTTCTATTTTCACAGTAAATATTAGGCAGTAGAATCTCATTACATCACATCACAAAGAATTACATTTTTCTTGTTTGGTTTCCATGATCTCAAAGACGTATGAAAAAATCAAACTAAGGTCATATAAATGTCCTTTTTAATCCCCTTTTGAAGTGTGTAAACGTCAAAAATACATAATTTAATTATGAAATCTGAATACGATTTCTGGTGGATATCAAATGAAAGAATAACGTTAAACGACTGCACTTGCCTTGATTTATTGAAAGTTCTTTGCGATCGTTCTTTGGACACAAATAGGAAAAAAGTGCAACCTTTCTTCCTATAATGGCAAGTCCAAGCTACTGTCCAACACATGAGGCATTCTTACAATCATGATCGCAGTATTAAACAAAGGGCAGATGTCCAATTCTGAAGCGTATAGTGCCTCATGTTCTCTGTTACGTATATTGCATTAATGCTCATTTAGGGCTTGTCAATAGTTGTTCATGTCACAACAAATGACAGAGCAGAACAAACAGGCACGTGCCGTAAACGAATACAAATCACTTTAGAGGAAGAACATATAGGCCCAAATTCTCAAACCTTGCTTTGTGAATTCGGGCCATAGAGTAGAGATTACAAGGGTGAGGAAAGATTTAAAAAAAGAAGAGCGACATAGAGTCAGACGACAAAGAAATAAGAAGAATATCCCGTCTTTAATAGAGAACGTTTGATTTATCTAAATTGATCGTAACTCAACTTGAGTTTGATATCAATCGCAACTATATGTGCCTACACTTTGCGACTAACTGGATGTCTAAATACGATTCCGATCAATATGAACTCTTTAGAAGACTAACCTCTACAGAAAGTATCATTTAACCAATTAGGAGGAGATGATGACTAAAGAAAGACGATGAAACATGAACAGAAATGAAAACAGGAAGAGCAAGAGACAAATAGTATGATGGGAAAAGGAGAGGAATTCCCCCGGAAAGACCAACATTGTCATGAAATATGTCACAATAACTTACTGTTGTTGCCGCTTGATTTAGAAGACAAAATCAAAAGATTTTAATTTGCAAAACTTCTGAATAATTTTCCAAACAATGCGAACTTTTATACCATGTGGGATTGTGATATACCACGTAACGAAATTGCATTAACGATGCACCAACTCCTAGCTACTTGTATTGCCTTGTGTTTAGCAAACGTTAATACTGACGAATCTTCGAATAGCTCTTACAAATGGCATTCCACTTGTTCCAACCAAATATGGACGATGGATATTTTCGTTAAAACGAAGAGCTTCAACAATGTTCTAATGACAAAAAGTCATTTAGCAAGTCATTGCTGCATCAACATTATTATCAGCAACTGCTCACAAGCCATGACTGGATCTTTGCGGTTATTTTTGGTACAGGTTGCCCATTTCCTGCTCGCTAGCCTCCGACAACAGCAGCACCTAGACAGCAGTCTCATGTCCAAAAATGTTGCAAAGCGTTTGCAAGGTTGGTGCTATGTTTATAACGGTTTCTTTTGCAGTTCTTTCACAGTTTTTTTTGCAGTTCTTTTACAGTTCTTTGGCAGTTCTTTTACAGTACTTTTACAGTACTTACGCAGTTCTTTTGCAGTTCTATTCCAATTCTTTCACAGTTCTGTTGCAAGTTTACGATTTCGCAGCTGCAGTCTGTGTGAGGAACTCCGCGATGACGTCGAAGCCTGCGTCCTTGGCCATCTCAGCTGCAGTGACGTTATCCTGGAAGCAAGGTTGGTGAAGAAAGGAAGAAAGAAAGAAAGAAAAAAAAAGATATGTAATCTCAACTTCAGCTGAATTCCATTCATGAATTCGCTTTAACCCTTACTGTACTGGGCTATTTTGAGCACCTCATTGACTATGATCTCGGTCGTTGAATGTCCGTGAACACGAAAATTTGCATGTTTGTAGATATTTACGTAAGGAACAAGATAGTATAATTAGTTTTTTCCTAATATGTAAATTTTTGTCGTTAAAGCCTACTTAATTATGCAAAATGCTAATTTTTTGCATTTTACAGAAAACTCTACATATTTGTCTGTAGACTGGTGAAGAATCTTAAATCATTGAATAAATGTTTCCTTCATCTCAAATTCACGAGGTTTCATTATTTTTATGATATTTGAAAATGCATAGGTTAATTTGCATAAATTACGCATTTGAAATTCATCATTTTATTTTCTTATGTATTTTATTGTTTTTTTTAATTTCTTATCATATCTATTGTTTTATTTCTAATGTATTCTTTTGTTCTGAATGCATCAAGTTACTTTGAGAAACATAAAGCAATTTTATATCAATTCATATCTCCCAGTTTTAGGAAGAAATACATCTAAACCTGTATTCACATTCGCTTGTACATGAATATATGCAATTATAGCACTTTTGGATGACATGCTCATACTAATTGTTACGAAACACCTTACAGGTATATCCGATTTTGACGAAAATGGTATCAACATGTGCGTAAGACTTGACGGAAAAAAAAGTCCTGAAACGACAATTCAAAATTCCAAGCGGTTGCGGCGCAATCTCCGAAAAATTCGAGGGGAGGGGGGGGGGGGGGGGCTCAGGGCCCCCCTAGTACAGTAAGGGTTAAGAAAAAAAAGGGTAATTCCATTTTCTGAGCTTGACTATGTTCATGCATTTCTCACCTTGTTTTTGAGCGTGACATCTGACCCGGATTCAATCAGTTGTTTGACCACTTTGAGATGACCGAACAAAGCCGCTGCATGAAGAACCGTCTCGCCGTTCTGTTTATCATTAATTAGAGACAAAAAAAAATACATTCTACATGACGATTCAGTCATTCCCAATCTTTCTCACCAGTGCCAATGGTGATTTATTCCATTATAATTAAGATGGCCCTTAAATGGGTACATAATGAATAACTACATATTAAAGGATAATAGAAAACAAGTAAAATAATAACTTGAAAGTTACCTTTACTCTAAAAACAACCTGGGTGTTTTTTATTTTTATTTTAACCAGCAAACGTGAATACATGCAATTTCCAACTCGTTTCCTTTCAAACGTTGAACAGTGTATGCCCAAACGGCAGCATAATAATGAAATATATCTTCACGTATCTACCTACTTAATGGGGGTAAAAGGGACATGTACCCTTCTTTTAAAATCGAGTCTTTCATAGATTAAGTACACATTTATATTTTGTGCTCCACTAATTGGGCTCATGTGCTCACTCTTCCAAATTGTAGGCCCCCAAAGGAATATAAAATGTGTTAAATGTGCTAAATTAACATCTGAAGAATGTATTTCTGACACTGAGCCCCATTTTCTTTTTCTTTCCCCCTGAAAAAAGAAAAAAAATCCTGGGTCCGCCCCTGCACCTACCTGCAGTATCCCGAGGGAGGCGCCCTTCATTATGAGGTCGCTCACGCAGTCTGTGTAGCCCTTATGGGCTGCCTTGAAGAGCGGGGTCGCCCCATCCTGCTTGGATAATTGGGAGGAAAAATGGTGAACAGGTGAAACCAAAGGGCATGCAGATATTCCATGCGTGCAGCACAGCAAAGTGGCGGGGTGAAATTAAATCGTGTTCAAATCGTGTTCAAATCGTGTTCAAATCGTGAGGTGATAAAACATCATTGCAGTGTCCACAAGAGCAAGTTTGGAAAATCAAAATAATGATAAAAAGATGTAAGTGGAAAACATAGGTTAATCAAAGTAATCAGTGCAACAAACTCGCCCAAATCATAACGCGAAAGTTGTGAATTCAACAGGATCTAAGGATTAGAGATGGGAAATATAGTTTTATGAATTTGGGCAGGGGGATATATCAGCTGTCACCCTTTAAATTTAGTAATTTAAAATTAAAAAAAAAAATTAAAAAAATTGTCGTTCACGAGGAGAAGGGAAGGACGTTATGTAAAGGAAGGAAGGGGAAGGAGGAGGAGAGGAGAGGAGGAGAGGAGAGGAGGAGAGGAGAGAAAGGGGAAGAAACGAAAAGGAAGAGACACCGGTATGGTTGCCTCTACTGCAAACTGGGGCGATTCAATCATTTTTCAAACTCAGCATGGCTGGTTAGGCTTAGTAAAAAAAACTGCGTTGTGAAATGTGGGGATAGTGGCAAATAGCAAAGTAAAACGCAACAAACTTCAACGTCAAAGGTAGATTCATAATGCATCACATTAGTGAGGAGATTTCATAGTTCATGTAAAAACATGAGTGATTCAATGATGCTATCGCAAAGGCCATGCTGTAAAGTCGTACACTATATCGTGATACAGACTATAAGGAAATTAGCCGCGCATTGGAAAGTATTGATGAAGTAAGGTACCAAATGGTAAACACAAACAAACTCAAGCTTGAACGCAGAATTAAAACAAAATATGAACAGATCCATGAAGGGGGTGAATGTGGGTATGATGGTAGCCATTAATAATCTTGACACTATACCCATGGCGATGACGAAGACAACAATGATGATGGTGATGAAAATGTTGACGAGAATGATAAGGATGATGACGACAAATGTGTTGTTGTTGAAGATAATGTCGATGATGTTAATGATTTTGTTGATGATGAAGATGATGATGTTGTTGATGATGATGATGTATATTGTAGATGATGGTCATTAGGATGATGATTGTGGAGATGATCAAAATCATTTCATCAACAAAATTAAGATAATAACAATGAAATAAACACTATTAACATCAAATAATGTTCAACAAAATATTATTTAACAAGACAGAATACGATCGCAACAATGTTATTACAGAAGACAAAAAATTCGAGGAAACTGATAGAAACAGGTAAAAACTAGAAATGCAATCGTGTCACAACGATGTGGTCGTCATTGCAATAACCCCAAAAATGGAAGTACAACGGCAAATCACATGATTGTTAAAAAATGAGAAGTAGGGCGAGGATGTAACACCAGAAATAAAACTAAATCCTCCGAAAGCCAGGCAAATACAAATAATCGGAGACCAGCATGAACACAAATAAAGTGGTGATATACTGATATGAACTGGCTTCGAAATTAGGACATAACAGTATTGAAACACACACTGCAACACATTCGTGCTCAAAATGAAAGAAATCAAAGCGAGGCACAGGCGGGGGACAAAAGTGTGTCATCAAAAGAAAAAAGCTTCAGTAGCTTAAACTACCATATTGTCATTAAACCGTATATAAAATGCATTATTCATCTCTGTTTCGATTTTTTTTCTCACAATATAAGGACGAATTTTTTTTACTGTGAACGTTTTCAACACGTTAGTCAGAATCGGGAACTTCAATTTCGAAACACAGTAATTGCCAAATACCACAAATGCAAGAAATTGAAATACAATCAAATTATATTTTCCTCTTCATTTTTGCCAATAAAATTCATTCATATTTTTCTATCGAAACTGCGTTTATATATATATATATATATATATATATATATATAAATTTCTGTTTTTGCCGGAAATGTCTTCCAACTGGCCGATCAACACGTCGAGTGTCAGCCAGCGGCATTAATTTCTTAGATAAAGAAGAGTTTCGACTTAAGTTTCGACCACAACGGAGAAAAAGGGTAGAGAGAGATCTCTTAGCTCAAGCTACTGTCTATAGTCTTTAGGGGATGTTTCACAAAACTTGTCATCAGTGACAAATGACATGTTTTATTATAAGCTACTGAAATCCTTGCTTCTGATTGGTTATCAGCAGATTTATCACTGATTTTTTTGTCATTTGTCATTGTAAAAAGGCTTTGTGAAACGGGTCCCTGAACTCCTGTCTTACCTCCCTAGCCTCATCCACCTTGGCTCCGGACAGAAGAAGTTCCCGGATGATCTCACTGTGCCCCATCTGAGCTGCTATCCACAACGGTGAGGCTTTGTCCTGTCAAAAATAAGGTAGAAAGTGAACCTCTTTATTGACTTATCCAGGACAGGGGAGGGGGTGGGGGAGGGGTCGGTACCAGTGCCATTAATTAGGAGAGTTTGGCCAACCCGGTTTGAGTTGGTCACAATATGGCGACTGCTGCTTTGTTGGGCAAGCGCAAAACAAAGGAATATACGCCATGTTGTGACCCAGTGAAACCAAGTCGGCCAAACTCTGTGTATAGATGGCTCTGGTCGCCCCAGGGGAACGCGCCCTCTCACGGCATTCTTTTTTCGTCACTAAATTTTGAAGTGTACCCAAAATGGCAAATCGAAAACTGACGCCCTTCTGTTTTTTTAAAACGAAGAACGGGTGCTTCTACCCTATTGTTTTGGGTGGAGAATAGCTCTCATAATGATATAAGAATGCATATTCATCACAGGTTATCAACCTTTTCTCGCTCGTACCATCTTCGGTACAATGTTGTTTTTAAACTGTTTATATCTACATACTATATTTTTTTAAAGAGATGCGATGTTAAAAATTAAAATATTAATGCTTATTATAATAGCAAATTATCACGTACTAGTCCAAGAGAATATATATCAATATTCGGGCGATCGCAACAACCGTCTCCCCGTAAAAAATGTACCCAGCCTCCCATGTTTGAAACCGGGAGAGTATTTTATCCCTTAATAAAAATGAATAAATATGAACAGATTCAAACCGGATTCCAATCCGTTTATTAAAAAAATCCAGTATAATGTTTGGAGCATGAGTGTAGTTCTCCAGTCCTCCCAACAATCCGTAAGTATTATAAAAGGCTTCTCTTCATCAGTTCGAGTTTGCCAAATGACCCGCTATTTTAACTATCCGGATCGCAAATTAGCCAGTTAATTTGCGTTTTCATCAGCCCGCAGTTGCAATTAGCGGGACATTCGGTCAAGAAAATATCCCGAGAAATCTTGGTCTTGTTTCCAAAATATCCCCTTGCGCCCGTCCGAGCAAGTTTGTGATGAGTGTATCAGTCTGGTGAAGAAGCAATTTCGAACTGCGGGATAATATCCAGAGTCTGAAAAGAGCGGGTTATTTGGCAAACTCAAGCTGATGAGGACAGGCCTGCTAGCCAGACTTTCGATTCCCTCTATCAGTTCAGAACTTACCTTTCTCGTCTGGTCGACCTTAGCTCCCTGTGCTATTAAGTACTTGAGCATGTTATAATGACCGTTCTGAGCTGCGATGAAAAGAGGTGTAGCACCGTCCTACCGAAAAAAGAGAGAGAGAGAAAAAAAAGGATATAGAATTGATCAAAGTTCATTAAAAATCTGTGATATCAATTGCTCAAAAGGTACAGTTGCACAACGATTCGTTTCCTATCGCTCACTGCGTGTTTTTTTCTGTGTTTTGTTGTTGTTGATGGTTACTATAGGTATTGATATTGCAACGGAATGAAATTTAAGTTGCCTCTGTAGCAGAATGTCATGTCAGAAACAAAATATTCCACCTTTCATAAGTTGTAACAAAGTTTAATTCTTCAAAACGGCCACGAAACATCTACAGGTCTAGACAAAAATGAGATGGGGGAAATTTCTATTTTCGTATATATCTTTTTTCTTCCTACACACAAATCGCTTCATCATATTCTCAGATATTTTGCAGTTTATCGATTTATTATTATCATTAATGTTTAGTGGACAAAGGGAGAGTTATCGCCCTGGGAATGGATGTCAATGATCTCCATCATACCGTCATCGTTCTGTGGATGTTGGCTCCTCTCGTTACCAACTCCTTCACGACGTCGAGATGATTGCACTGACATGCAACAAACAATGGTGTTCCACCATCCTGGGAAAGAAATAAAAGTAATAAATAAGCATGAATGGTTGTCGAATTCAATTTTTATCATAGGGTGGGCGCTCATCTTCTTCGCGATTATTACACTGGAGGTTCAGTGAGCGTTAGGAGGAGACGGTTAGACCGGGTGTTTGGCCCATTCATTCCTTCCGCGTGTTCAAAATGGGTACCTGACAATACTTGCGAAATAATAATTTACCCATGTTTGCTCTCCTCTATCCACGAGTATTAAACGTATACCCGGCAGGCGCGTAGCCAGGGGGGGGGCGGTGGGGGCGGTCGCCCCCCAAAAAACGTAAGCCCCCCCCCCAACAAAAAAAAAAAAAAAAAAAAAAAAGAGAGAGAAAAGAAGAAAAACGTAAGAGGACGTAGGAAGAGAAAGGGATAAGGAGTCGAGAAAGGTACAACGGATCGTCTTCTTTCTCTAATAATTTAAAGAAACGTCAAAGCTTCGCGCGGGAAGGGGGGGGGGGAGAACTTAGTTCAAATTAAGGAATAAGTGTCGAGAACGGTACAACGAATCGTCTTCTTTCTCTAATAATTTAATGAAACGTGAAAGCTTCAGCGCTTCGCGCGGGAGGGGGACTGAATTCAGACAAGGATTAAGAGTTGAGAAAGGTACAATGAATCGTCTTCCTTCTCTAATAATTTAATGAAACGTCAAAGCATCGCGCGAGGGGGGGGGGGAACAGAATTCAGACAAGGATTAAGAGTCGAGAAAGGTTCAACGAATCGTCTTCTTTCAAAGCTTCCGCGAAGAAAATCCCCCCTCCCTGCACCCACCCCTCTAGGAAGCGCGCTTCGCGCGCTCTTTAGGTCTGGTAAAAATAACAACATGACTATTTATCGACTTCTATAAAATGACTATTTATCACTAGCTAACACTTTAATACATAATGTACTAATTACCTGGCTTGGTAAATCATTTTGTGCTCCCTCCTCTAACAGCTCTTTGACAATTTCTAGGAAACCTCCCTGGGCTGCAAAGAACAGAGCTGTGGTCCCGGTCTGGTATGTAATGAACAACAAAAAAACATCAGAAATAGTATACCATAAGAAATATAATACAAACAAAATATTCAAACTGATACTTAGAAGCTTCGCTCCAATTGCAATCCTTCTTAATATTGGTGACTTAACCGTTACATTTTGATTTATTGGTACAATATTGGATTGTTTATGGTCATGGTTTCATATGAAGAAGAAGTGTAACCAACGAGAAATATCCTGTACAGAGAAAACAAAGAAACTGAGTCGTACAAAGTACGCACGTAATAATAAAGTAAAACATAATACACGAAACATTTCTCGCAAGCGTTTGTCCTCGTGGGCTTTGCTCTTGTGAATCTCTAAGATAGTCTTCACACGGTACAGGGGACCCCCAAACTGGTTTGTTTGCTTGTTCGTTTGTTGTTGTTGTGTGTGTTTTATTTATTTATTATTATTATTATCATTATTATTATCATCATTATTTAATTATTAATTTTTATTTATTTATTTATTTTTATTTATTTATTTATTTATTTATTTATTCATTTATTTATTTTTTAAAAATTTATTTATTTATTTATTATTATTATTATTTATTTATTTATTTATTTTTTATTTTTTTTATATTTTTTATTTATTTATTTATTTATTTATTTATTTATTTATTTATTTATTTTATTTATTTATTATTATTATTTTTTTTTTTTTTTTTGGGGGGGGGGGGTGTCATTGAAGCCTATTTACTAACAGTCTCGTGAACTCTAGGGGTGTTTCAAAAGATCCTAAGTTGAAATTATCTCTAAGTTGGACTTAGCAATTATGGAAAGCCTTCAGCATCTTTGAAAATATTTTGTACAAGTTATTTTAAAAGGCAATAAATGTTGATTCAAATGATTCGTACTTTCTATTATCAAGGAGATTTCATGTTTTTGATGTGGAATTAATTTATGAAAAGTCTAAAGTACTTCAATTTTTCTTGTTAATATATTTTATTTTAAGGCTACAAATGGCTCAGTATCCATAATGTTTAAGCCAAACTTAGAGTTAAGGTCGACTTAGGATCTTTGTGAAGCACCCCCCCCCCCCCCAGGTCATATGGAATACCCTCTATCATGGAATATACTTACGGCTCTCCTTTCGTTGGGGTCTGCTCCTTCACCGATCAGTTCCCTCACACACTCGAGGTGGTCATTCGCTGCGGCCAAGATCAGCGGTGTCGTCCCATCCTGTTCAAAAAGAAGAAGAAAAGAGAACACTATATCATATATTTGAACTTATGATAACAATAATATTCAGTTCTTGTATAGCGCATAATGTATTATGGAATAACATCGCTATGCGTTTCTAAAGAGCTTTGGAAATGATTACCCTAGCTTTAGCTCCGGCAGCCGTTATCAGCGCACAGTGCATTTCAAGTCAATGACACATAATTATAAAAAAAGAGTAAAATCATGCTTCTATTGACGACCGATCATGAATGAAACGATGACTAAAAATTACGACGTGGCAAATGTGGAGATGAGTCACGTGAACCATAAGATGTGAGAATGATTAATGGCTGCAAAATAATTATCGTACATTTTCATGTGAGGGTAAGATTCATCACTAGATGATATCGGCGACATGGAACATGTTGCATGCGCTGCAAGTATGTAACTTGCAACTGCGTCTGCATGTATATAATAGCCTCTTAATATAGATTTTGCATTACGAAAATAACAATATTGTCTTAGATCTCCCTGCTCTATTATATCCATCCTTTATTCTTTATTTCTTCATATCCTTTTGTTTACAGTAAAGGTTATATCTTCTCATGTCAGACTTGCTTGCCTCACATTTCTATTATCTCTATTTCACATGAACTTTCTCTTCGAAAAATGGTTTGAATACCAGACATAATATCAAGTGCGTTGCCTTTCCACACATTGCTTCCTCCCCGTTCCATCAATTCAAAAGTAGCCCTATTTACAGGTTACTCCGGGTATCATTTGACACTTCCTCTTCCCTGAAGCAAAACAAGAATATACCTTGTTCAGAAATTCTTTGGAATGATGTTCAAGGTTGAATGTTATTGTACAACATCATCTTCAATGGAGGCGGGTATTATCACTACGATTGGCAGAAGAGGGGGGGGGGGGGGGGCTGGAGGAGGGAGAGGAGAAGGGAGGAGAGGAAGAAATTGGATTGTGTGATATCTCATGATAATCCTTTTTTTCCTTCTCAACACTGCTACCTTATTATGCGTAAAGCCATCTCCAAAGAAGCATCATTGATAAAGGAAGAGAGAGAGAGAGAGAGACAGAGGGAGAGAGAGTGGGATACAGAGGGAGAGAGAGAGAGATACAGAGATACAGAGTGAGAGAGAGAGAGAGAGAGAGAGAGAGGAGGAGAGAGAGAGAGAGGAGGGTAATAACAATAAGAGCATAGACACAGACTCACAGACAGTTAGAGAAAATGAAAAAATGGGCAGAGAGAGAGAGAAATAGAGAAAGAGGAAAAAGGGGGGGGGGGTCATGAGAGGGGTAAAGGAGTAAAGTAGAAGGAAGGGGTGATCGATCCAAACAGACAGGCTAACAAAGCACGCATATCAAATGATGACACTACTTTAATGCCCGGCATTAATCATTTGCAACATTGCCTTTCGATCACGCAATAATGACCCGCCTACGTTGGCGGGTGATGACGACGACTATGCTCATCACTATTACATTGCCCCTATTTCGGTGTACATTCCTACACGCTCATCGTTTCCTACACGTGTCTATGTGGACATACATGTACATTGAGAAGACATTATTGCCTCGTGTGAAGATGGGGCCTGCGTGAGGTGGGGCACGCTACACGGGGTCAATGAATTCGCCCACGCAGTACGTAATGGAAATGATGGTCGTGCATTGCAGCTCATAATCATGCTTTAATCGAGTCGAAAAAGGTGCATTCTAAATCATGAAAACTCGGTGATACTTTACAGTTTGGTGAATAATATGTGTCTCCTCGACGACATACTGCTCTTTTGCCATTCTGCTCAGTGCCTCCAGCAATATTTAACAAATCGTTGATGATTTCAAAACATCACAATATATTATTTATTCCTGATTAGTACCAACAGTTCAGATTCCTCTCTTTTATTTATTTATTTATTTTACTTTGAAGGTCAAGTGAGGTCAAGTCGGGCCAGCATTAAAGGGGAAAGGGTTACGTCTATGGTTAGGTATGTCGGGTAAAATATAAAAACAAAGGCACAAGCTTCGGGTGTTTTTTCTTTCTCCTAAAAACCTCTGAAGTAAAAAGTCAAAAACAAAGCAAAGCGAGGAGGAAAAAAATAAGAAAAAAAGAAGAAGAGGAGAAAAAAATGATGGCTAACGCGTTTATTGATATGACGAAATGGTGCATTATGACCATTGTTGCGTAATCAAATACTCAACAGAACAGTCTTCAACTTCATAAAGTTAACCCGTAGACTAATGAATTGTATAGGTCCCATAGGCTTAACACAGGGACCGCCGGGTTCCCGTAAGCAAAGGGTTAAAACTGTCCGATAATAGGTTCACATCAGGTGAAGATAGCATCCGATGATTTCGTGTGTCACAGATTAATAACCACTAAACACGTAGAAGAATATACAAATAATACACAGCAGTGAGGGCATTATAACATGATTTTACTAATGACCGGTCATTAGAATTGGATAAAGACCGGTCATTATCCAAATTACGCGTTAGGCAAAATAAATGCCTGGTCACGTGTACGCTTTCAACCAATCATTTGACTAGGATCCAAGTCATCATCTTTTAAAACATTTAATGGAAGGTCAAGTAGACATCACTTGAATCACTGACTCCTAGTTCCATGCGACGGACAGAATAGTGCGTAGGGCCAATGCACTGTATTCCCATAGTGATTATTTTAACTCACACTCATCAGTAGCGAAGGGGTTAGAAGACCTAGGGAATAGAAACCGATCACTTAGTGCATCCAAGGGTAATGACCGTAAAACACATAGAAAGATACACATACAGGACGAGGCAACACCATCTGCACCCCGGCTCCCGGAGTAAGGGTGGGCAAGTCCCCCGACAGGGGCGTGTTCCGAGATTAGTTTTGTTTTAAATCTCAGTATTAAAATTCCCGTAAAACCTTAAAAATCGGTGTTCTGAGAATCATATCATTTCGATTTTTATCTCGCTACGACAAGCCCATTGTAATGCAATAACCAATGAGAAAAGCTGATAGATTTCATCTTCTTCATGTTCAGCCAAAGAGACCTATGAAAGAAAGGTTCATATCGGGATAAGATAGGGGCCGACTTTTCAGTGCGTCACAGGTTAATAACCACATAACTGTCAAGTTCGGAAAGCTAGCCAAATAACTTAAGCACGCTGACTCATGGCAATTGAATTTGAAATGGAGATCAATACACATGCAGCGAACACCGATATTTATCCAAGGTACGCCTACTATGATACTATACGCCTCCTTTACTTTAAATGACTTTATATACAAGTATTCACCAAATTAATAGACGCAGAAAGAGATGTGATAGGTGGGGGAGAAGGTGACTTAGAGATAGAGAAAGAAAGAAAGAGAGAGAGAGAGAGAGAGAAAGAAAGAAAGACTAAGAGGGAGAGGGAACAGAAAGATTGTATGAGTGTATGTGTGTGTTTGTACAGAAGTGTGTGAGACTGAAGGAGACAGAGAGAGGGAAAAAATGGCAAGACCGTGTGTGTGCGTTTGCGTTGTGAGTGCCTGTGGACGCGCGCGTGAGACAATGAGGTGTGTGTGTGAGATATTGAGGGGGAGGGGAGAAAGTTATGAAGAAAGCACTTGACTTCACTCACTATTGTCATAGTGTTCTTCGTTGTATTAACCCCTTCTTCTGTCACTTTGTAGTGTCACATTATTTAAAGACCGGCAATACTACTGGGCCAGAAGGGATTAGACCACACAGCAAGTTCACTGACAGGTGGCTATCTCATTAACTCAGCTCTCAACTAACATAATAAAAGAGGATCATGGGCGACCAACTGGCACCGATTGGGGAAGTTTCTATATAGAGGGAGCAAGTTGCTACCAGTAGGACAGTGGGGCTTTAACTCCACTTCATATTTTGATGATTACTAGTTTCGCAGTATGGTTATACTTAATAACACGTAACGTATGTATTTACCTCTTGTTCCGTACTGGACGAATGGGGATACATACACTACCTGTTATACATTATTTAAATGGTGAAGTTTTTGTTGTTAATACGAAAGTAAACTATGAATTTGTCATTTACCTTGGTTCTAAACCCGAAGTGGAATCGATAAAGCAAATAATTTTAAATGTATACATTCGTAATTAATTCAGAAGAACAAGTGCTATTAAAGCATTAATTTATTGATTTCAATTCCAATATGTTAAATATCATGGTTATTTGATTTAATAGATTTCTATTATAAAGCAAAGGGAGACAGTTTATCCAACGTATAAACAACTATAGATAAGCTATGAAACATTCCGACAGAAAAGAAAAAAGGAAAAAGAAGAAGAGGAATAAAAAAAAAAAAACATCCGTGGTTATCCAATGCCGACCGCAATTAAACGTGGAAGACATTCAAATCGAAAGATTGATCATATTCAAGTTAAAAAAATGGAACACTCTTTTGGACACATTATTGACATGCTCAAGTAGTTTACATTGTACATGTTTACATTGTTACATTGTTACATTTGTTTAAGTCTTGGTTAATTAAAATATTCTTTACTAATTTACTTAATCAATCCTTTGAAACGGGCTAGAAACATCAAACGCAATGTAAATATCTGAAGTTGAATGATAAATATCAAAGTGAAAATGTTTAAGATCAACATGTTAGATTGATTAAGCAAACCACGTACTAATCATCAACAGTCTCCTATGCCTAATCAGCCATATGGAGCTGATAAATCTATATTTAATGTATATGATAAACAGATTCCCGCGCGGGTGTATTTTGTATCAACGTGTATTCTACATAGGTAATTACCTCGTAATCAACGTCAATGTTTCAACATACGGTGACCCTAATCAAACAGGAAGGCCCGTGTGGATACAAGGTGGAGATGACCTTTAAGGGAGATGATGATCTAGATTACATCTCCATCTGATTGGTCTCTTGGATTTAAAGGGAGTGTAGCTTGGAAATAATGGTTTGGACAAATTCACGTTAACGAATGGACTTGATTAACGGTAGTCAGCGACTTAATATCTACATGGTCAGCGTTCGCGAAACGGACCGAAGTTCTCCTCAGGCTTCGGTTTTGTGTATGTTGCACGCACGTGATTGCTGTGGTCGCGTCGTCCGTAATATATACCCGATTGGCCCCGAGTCAGGCCACGGGAAAGACACGTAGTGACGTCAGGCTACACTCCCTTTAAGCTCACTTGATGGAGAACCCTCTTCTAAAATACCTCCACCAGATACTCCACGAATGGTCCTTCACCTATAGGCGTCTGCGTGAATACTCCTCTGGCCATTTCAATTAGCTGTCCCATCAATTGAAATGGAAGTTAATTACCAGTTCGCTATTGATTGAATTCCAGCGCAGGTGCTAGTGCGTAATAAGTGTTTTTCCCCGATCGTCATGTCTTTTAATGTATGTCATTCAGTTGCGGGCAGTCAAAGAAAGGATTTCAAAACATATGTGGAAATATAAGAAGTAAGAATTCTATTTGAACCAAAGACGTGTTCCCGGTAGAAGCATTTATATTTTTCTTTTATCATGTAAATTGACTATTTCAACAACAAAAATGCATCAACATTTCTTTTGAGTCCCCCCCCCCTCTTTCCACACTCTTCTCTCACGCTACTTCCATTTATGTTTTCTTATTTTTCATCTTCCCCTTTAAAAAAAACCCTCCCTCTGCTCATCAGTTCTCTTTACTCCTCCTCCCTTTTCTTCATATTCTTCTCAATATTGGCTTTTCCCAATTCATATGCTGGTGCAGACTTTTTACGTCATTGGTGTTAATGAGAAACCCAGTACTATATAGTTTCCTTGAAACGATGCCATTTAACGTACCTCTATCTTTAGCATCCATTTAAAACTCACACGAAATATTAGAAAAATAACCTCGAAGCGCAACCATGCTCCATTTTAAATGGACAAAATATCATACCATGAGGCCTAGATACATCTGATATCAAATTGGATTCATAGAAGCACAACAAGGAAAAGTTAGCAAATTCCGATTAAAAATAAGAACTTTTTGAATTTTTGAATTTGCGATCAATCAAATACCAATTGCCAACTCTGTGACGTATCATGCGAGCTCCTTTCCCATTTGCTCTGTTATATCTATTCCATCATCATTAAAGCTAAAGGCCAGTTATGGTCATGCGATTGCATTGTGAAAGAAATCGATCAAAAAAGGTTGATCATCTAGCATAGATGTACTGCAAGGTTCTGGAATCATCAAAATGATAAGAAATTTGGCCAAGTCTTCATAAAGTTAGAAGCACTGTACACAGAAAGATGTATATGGGACTACACACACGTTGCGACACGTGCATTTCATATCTATCAACAGGCAAGAGATACACTAATTTACCAAATATATCAATTAGTATATAGGCGGTTTCCCGTCAATTTTTTTATCATCATGTAATATTCAATACATATTCTTTCACATGATTGGTAATAAGAGCTTCCATTTCATTTTTTGAAATTGGGGCGTTTCCAATACTGGTCTTTACCTTTAACGAAGAAAATGAAAGTGTATGATATTTTATGTACAGAACAAACAGAAAGGGGTCTCGCAAGATACGTCACAGAGTTGCCAATTTGTGTTTCACTGATGACAAATTTAAACATTCATAATTTCTTGTTCTTTATCGGAATTTGTGCAAAATTCCACTGACCGGCTTCTCTCACGTTTATGCTTCTATTAAAACCAGCTTACTATCAGGGTGGACTTCCCCTTTGAATATATAACACATTATACGATGGGCCTGCGTGCATATCTACCTTTTAGCTAATTGTATGTATCAGAGATCAATGGAGCAGCGCTAATCATGTCAAGAGGGGCCAATTATCCTGCCCCATCGGCCCAGATTTCACGTATGACCCGCTTCCCTCGCCGCCAAATCATTCAGTTTTCTTTGGACGAAATTGTACTCAAGACAATCATTTAAAAATTGAAAATAGAAGCTACGGCGATAACAATTACATCGTCGATTAAAACGTATGCAATGGTGATGATGGTATTGTAAAATGTCAAAAGAGCTCATTAGTTATCCTCATGGTATTTGAGAAGAGTGCTTACTGTTTCTGATTCGTCCGCGTGTTCAATATTTTCCTTTTTTTATGGTAAGAACGATTTCTACGCATAAAAACTATTGAAAGATTATATCTAGAAGCTGTGGGCCATTACGTCGTCAATAATAACGTAAAGATGTTGGTCGTATTCTTCAAGGTCATAGATACTCATCAGAGATGTAATTAGTCTTAAAGGTACTATGTCCCATTTGCAGGCAAAAAAGGTGAAAAGTTTAATTCCAACGGCATTTGAAAGACTTAAAACGAAAGGGCTTGACATTGTCTTTAAGTGGGGAAATAACGACCATTAGTTGTCGAATCGACTTAAGTGGTTGCAAACACTAAATTAATAGTCTGATTTTCAGACTCTTGAACGTTTTGTGCTGCGCAAAGATTCTATCAGTTTAATTTTGGCCATTACTAGAATTGGGTTTTTGTGTAGACAAATGTTCATGTACCCTTTACAGCGCATTTTATGTATGATATTACCAAAGAAAAACAAAGTCAGTCAGTCACTCAATAGTGTCTGACAGTGAAGTCTAGAAAGTAAACGGGTTTCCTTCCATACTTTGAATATTAGGACACTGCTAACGGTTAAATTTTACAGATAGGACATAGTGCCATGTTCATAATTTCTGACAAGTTCTACAGAATTTGATGTTGGCTGCAAATTGGACATAGTACCTTTAAGAGGACGCCTAACAGTTTCCAATATTTTGTCCGTTTGATTGTGTGGCTAAAGCTACGGTCACAAAAGTTCGGACGAATCTCCCTGTTTTTACATGGTCTTCCCGAATTTTCATGGTCTGAAAATTGTTCGTACGGCGTTCGTACGGTGTTCGTAATGGCATTTGTGACCGAGGCTTAACCTAGTTGTACATCCTAAATAGGTTGGAAACGAGCTCATCCTTGTCCTTCCCGGCAAGGATACGACAAAGGCAACACATTTTTCCCCATTTCATTTCTTTTTCATTTCATTTCATTTTATTTTCATTTCCAAAGATAATACAAAACAATATAACTGGATGACATGTCATGTGGAGGTCATAGTTGACAAACATCACAAATTAAATACAGTATCATGTCAGACAATTCAGACTAATAATTTTCCTGTCTAAGATAAGGCTTGAGCAAATCCCCAGCGAGAACCCTGGAGGCTATCTCCACTTTTGATCAAAATAAAGAAATGTACATTTAATAATCCAAATTCATCTTGCCCACTAGAATGGTTGCTATGGTAATGTGATTTCGCTCGTACTAGGGAGCGCCGGAGATCACTCCCCGAAGTGTTTTAATTCTCGAAGCATTAGTCATTAAATCAACGATGGACCTTGCACATTGCAACAGTCACGTACAAGATAACCTCAACAAAAGTGTTATATTTTCGCGACGGATTGAATCAAGAAAATAATGAGCATGATTATATCAGACAGACATGGCATGAAATAAATGTGTGGATTGTGGTACGAAAACAGGCGTAGCACCAAGGCAGGCACTACTTTTAAATTGTATAATTATGATTCACTGTGTATATGTAACTCTTTATTATTGTTATTGAATTAAAAAGAATCAAACAAACATATTAATTGCATTTGGAAAGGAAAATGATTATTAAGGGCCATGTCATATCTAACGGGATACTAATGTCACACTCCATTTATTGCTGAATATAAGGTGATTATTGTAAAAGTAATTAAACGTGGAGCACACTGCTTGTTAAATCTGACAAACGTGTAAAATTTGCTGTGATTGTTTCATTAAATGGTATCCTTTGTGAGCTGAGACGGAGAAGGTACACAGATGCCGAGTGGGCCGAGCAATAAAAAAACAAATAAACGACGTGCTCCACGTCGAAATAAAAACGACAAACACATTTGCAATGTCTGAGTAAGCCCCTTCCTCAAAATAGGCTGACTAAATGTATTGTGGACCGTTAAGTGATATGAGGACGAGAGAGAGGATATAGGTCGGTGACAGTCACGACTATAGGATATCGTTTCCCTTTCAAATTATTTTTTTAGAGGGGGGGGGGGGTGGGGGAGATGTCTTATGGTGAATATTTCCATGTTTCCGATACCTGCTTCTACTTCGCACTACACCGAATGTTTTAAATATTAAACCGCAGTTACGTTTTTCTGTTCTTATCTACGTTCTTATTTTATTTCCATCCTCCCCTTTCACTGTTCTTCCTGTTCCCTTCTCTTTCACCAGTACTCTTTGCTAATATTGTACTTAATATATTTCCTTTTACTTCAACATTCTTTGAATTCCTCTCAAATTTCTTTTTACAGTAACCCACTCCCATCCCCTCATCCCTCCCTGCCTGTCTTCTCTATCTCTCCCTAACTATTTCTCTCCCTCTGTCTTACGAACTCCCCCTCTTCAATTTCATAGTTTAAGCGATGTTTGTCTTTCTCTCTTCTCTTTTAAGTTGCTAAATCCACCGTTTGATTATCATGGAGTCAATAAGGAAATTATTTCGTCTGGCATGTTAGCATTGTTTTACCAAGACATCAATTAATCGCAAAATCTGTCGTCTCGATACAGACCAGGTCATTTATCATTCTGATATGGAGAAGTTACATTTTTACTTCCTCCTATTTCAAGTCTAGTCTACCCCTTCCACTCTCGGTCACTCCCTCTCCCTCTTTATTATCCTCTTTACCCCCTATCCCCTCCCCTTTTTCTCTTTATCGTCCCCCTTCCCCCTTCTCTCTCTGTGCAGTATATTTACTTCTTTCGTTCATTTCTCTCCGTCTATTTCAGTCTACTTCTCTCAATAATTGTGTGTCAGTCCGTGTGTCTGTCTCCCTCTCTATTCTCTCTCTTCTCTCTTTCTTTCTTTCTTTCTTTCTTTCTCTTCATCTCCTTCTCTCTCTCTCTCTCTTTTCTTTCTCTTCTCTCTTTCTTTCTCCCTCTATCTTTCTCTCGCGCTTTCTCTCTCTCTCTCTCTCTCTCTCTCTCTCTCTCTCTCTCTCTCCCTGTTTCCCCTTCCCCACTTATGCATACGAAAAATCAGGCAACCCACTTCGCTATACGGCGTCATTTTTTCTCACAGAGATCTACGTATTTAATATCCCCTCCGTTCCTCGTGAAATGAAAATGTCCCCTCCCCTTTCCTCTCCCCTTTCCTCCGTCATGTTGTCGGCTTTTATTATCTCAAAAGCAATTGAAACCAATAGCACCAAATTACCCACAAATAGTCCACTCGATAAAGGG